ACGAGCATGAATTAAATACAACTCACATGACAGTTAATGTGTTAAAAACTATTGCACAAAAGAAATAGATTTTTTCTTAAAAGTATGTTTATCCAGTTTTTCTCCATCCACTTATTTTTAATTAAATACAGACATTTTAATAGTACATATTAACAGGTGGAAAGGAAAGGTTTTTTTTGGCTCACTTCCCTTTAGACAATTTAAAAGTGGAATGACCACATGCTGTTCCAAACACAATATATGACTTTGCCTTTGCCTAGATCTCAATGAAGGCAATTCAAAAAGAAAAATACAATATTCCTGTTTCGATTTTCCCTAGATCAGTCTCAGCTCTTTCTGGATGAAATCAGTCTCTCAAGGGACATCAACCTCACAATTTGAGAAACAATGGTTTAGCCATGAAACAAAAGGAACACAATGGAAAACCAGCAGCCATTTGTGGTTTTTTTTCCCCCCATTTGGGAGAGTGAGACTGTACAACATCCTTTTCATTATAAACCCAAGTTACTATTCAGAATTGTAAATTAACTCTTTGTAATACAAATGACTTCAGATTCAGGTAATAAAATAAGGAAAAAACTGAAGTCCCTTATTTTAGGCAATCTCTGAGACAAAACCAAAAAAACAGGATATCCCAGTTAGATCCTTCTGGTTTGTGTAAATTTGACTTTAAAAAAGTATATGGAAAGTAAATAACATATAACTCGGGTAACATACAAAGAAGAATGCACAATGTTTATTATATGCTATACTATCCTTAAAACACTTTCAAGTACTTTAAACCAAGGTTCTGCAAACAACAGCCCACGGGCCGAGTATGACCCACTGACTGTTTTTGTAAATAATGTTTTATTGAAACACAGCCACATTCATTTGTTGACATATTATCTATGATGGCTTTTGTGCTACAATTCTAGAGTTCAATAGCTGCGACAGAGACTGTATGGTCTGCAAAGCCAAAAATATTTGGCCCTTTACAGAAAAAGTTTGTAATCCCTACTCTAAACCAGTAGGTCTTGAACTTTAACATTCACAAGAAACACCTGGACAGCTTGTTAAAACACAGCTGGGCTCCTTCTTCAGCAATCATGATTCAGTAGGTTGGGGTGAGGAGTCCACAAATTTGCATTTCTAACAAACTCACAAGCTGCTGGTCTATGAACTAAACTTTGAGAACCACTGCTCTAAATCATCTCGTATAATCACAGATTGACAATGACCATAAATGCCTAAATTATATAAAACACGCTGTCATAAAATAAAAACTGAGGCACAAATGAGGAGATCGATTTCTTGACTTACACGGAATTCTTGATGGCTAAGAAAGTATAACTGGTTGCCATAATCATCAGGCAATTCTTCTCATCCTAACACTTCAATTCAGTGAACACTGGAAACTCAACAGGGACCAGCAGGAAACAAAGGCAGTTGGGTTGGAAGTATAAAACCCAATCTGTTCTTTAGAGAAGCTATAAAACACGTTTTTAGTAAAAGCCAAGGTACATGCAGCTTAATTTAGTGCTTGACTGGACTATAAACTTAAGTACTAAATTATGTTAGAAAAAAATATGACAGTTATAGTTTATAATCCAGCAGTCCAATCAAAAGAATCCCTTCACTTCAAATAAATAGAATGGTTAAAAATCAAATTCTTTAAACACATTCTAACAAATACGTGTAAAGCTAATATGGGAAAGAAAATAGAGGGTGTCAACTGATACATTTCTACTCAGGTAGAACAAAAGAGGATGATCTGTAAACCACCTAAAAATATCAGAATGCCTTTCACTCGGACACTGTAGAAGATAGAGGTGGAATGTAAAGATTGGAAGAGAAAATTCTCTTTGCTGACTTATTGGGACAGGAAACATCACCTTTTTCTTTATTTAGCTTTTATTGAGCATCTACCATGCTCAGAGGCACTGTACTAAGCATTAGGGATACAGATGAATAAACACCATCCCTACCTTTAATAAGTTCACAACCTAGTCAGAGAAACATGTAAGTAATCATAATACAGCATAAGTGTAAGAACAGTTATATATATTAAGTACTATAAGAGTGTAGAGAGTGAGCTGATTAAATATGCTTGGGAGAAAGGTGAAAGAAGGTTTCACTAAAAACAAGAGTTATTGCTTGAACTGAGACCTGTAGGAATTGAGCAGTAACAGAAAGGTAGCAGAGGGCCCACCAGAGGATATAATATATGCAAAGGTACAGAGGTGAGAAAGAGTAATACGGATTTCAGTTCTACAAACAGGTCAGCTGGCTGAAGCAGACTGTACAATGTGGGAAGGGACAAGATGGGAGGCTAGAAGGCAGGGTCCCACATAAAGAGCTTTGGGTGCTACTCTAGAATCAGGTCTTTTATTTCTCCAGCTTTAGGGAAATGGTGAAGAATTTTAACCCCAAGGTAGACTGCATGGATTTGCACTTTAACAAAATCCTTTGGCACCACTAGATGGGAGAGACTGAAGGTTAGGGATATTATTTTTGATCTAACAAAACTCTGTATTCAAGGCACTGATGAGAGGAAAAAAGAGAAGTAGAGCTAAACAGAGTTATAAAAAAGTCACCCAATTTGGTTTTATCTAAGTGAAGTTTATGAAGAGGTAGCAAGGGACTGAAATTTACATGTTGCCTTCCAGATCATAGGAAATATTATCTTGTTTATCCAGTGAGGTCAAGGGCCTTAAAAAAAAGTTTTAAAAAAAGTCTTCTCTGTCTACATGGACGATCATGATAAGACTGTGTCAGATCACAGTTTTCAAACCTTGGACAAATCATATCTTGTCTGGGCTTCAGTTTTTTCACCTGTATAATAACAGCTTTAGGGGTTCTTAACCTGAGCAATACACAGAAGTATATTTCAATATCAATGGTTTCCTTTGTAATCTTACCCATTTTATTTACTTAAATTTTAAAACATTTCTCTTATTCTGAGAAGGGGTTAATGGCACAAAAATGGTTAAGAAACTAGCTACGACCTTTAGGGTCACTTACAATTCTCAAATTACAGGATTTTGAATATTCAATCCAGGAACTAACAGAGAATGTTGCTTAGCCACAAGGACAAATAGGATTGGGGCGGTAGGAAAAGCACAATACTATAGACTAAAAAAAATTATACATAGAGATTAAAAGTCTGACCCAGGTTGATATTATTTTTGCCTTTCCATTTCCCCTTCCTTCCCTTTTTCCATTTTGTAGACTTAGATTAATGCTGGTATTATGCAACTGCTTGATGGCTTTCTTCTTTTGTATCCTTAAACTTACTGAAGTATGATTTATAGAACAAAACTTCATTAGTAAAGGCTATGAGAACGTTTAGTATACGAGAAAGATATATAATGAAGAGACTGGTAATGTTAGCAATCAAATGAAGGAGGTAAGAACAAAAAACATTCTTGATAATATCCAGACACAAACTACTTGGGAAAGAAGCTAGGTAAATAAAAAACATATATGTATTTTTTTTAGTCAGAAACAATCGGTTTTAAAAAGATGTGTGTGGAACAAAGCTAGTGGTTACCATCTTACAATTATAGGCATTTAATAGCAGGGACGCATTTCTCACTTACATTTATAATAATACTGTATGATACGGAACTCAAGTCTAAATAATATGAATTTATAAGGTCATTGTTAACGTTCAAACTTAAAAGTATTTAGCTACTACATAGAAAGGAAACCAGATTTTTTAAAAAATTTAAGAACACTATTAAAACATGAGTTATAAAACATATCACCAGAGAAAATGTGAATGAATGATGTAATTATTGCTTGATGGTATTCCCACTATATATTTTAATCAGATTAAACCATCAAAATGATTCTGATTAAACAATGAAAGTGTTACCGTATTATCTGTTCAGTGTTCAATCTTGCATTGGTTTGAAAAACCACTAAAAGATTACAATGGGGGGGGACAAGGGCAACATACGTAACCTAAACATCTGTACCCCCATAATATGCTGAAATAAAAAAAGAAAAGATTACAATAATATAATTTGTAATATCCTTTTAAATTACATCTACTTAGTATTTAAAAGCTTTTCTATTCTAGACGTGAGTCCACAATGACGCAAACAACTATTCAATTGGAAAACAATGGAAGACTTTGAAATCTACAAAATCAAATCTAATCAGTTTTAAAAACTGTATGTATATTAAATTTGTAGGGGTTTCATCCCTTAGCAACAATCTGAGGGAAAAAAGCTTTTATCATCTTCAGACAGTTTTTCTGGAGAAAAACTACAAAAACGACACATTTGTCTTCTTTCCTTCAAGAGACTTATCAACCTGACAAATCTTATGGGAAGGAGGTTCCTGTCTCTACAGGTAGCTATTTCTTCCCACACCTCCCTAGCAATTTGCGTATCTCTAAACCAGAGGCAGGTAACTGAGGCACCTAAGGCAATCTTTAGTGTCACTCTACTCCTCCCTTGACAAGTGGTTTCTTTTAACAAGTATAAATAATATTTAAGTGCTATGCTTAAAAAACAAAGTCCCTTTTTAGTACAACACCGTCTATAGCCCCAAAATATTCCAATAACTTATTTGCTTCAGGAGAACTGTGCCAAGTGAAAACATTACAACTACTTATAAAAACACGCAGATTTTTTCACTTTTAGTCCAGGCAAAACAGATTATATGTTCAGTGAATTTTTAAAAATTCAGAATTTCTAGGGGGACTACCATACTTGATTCAGGAAAATAAAATATTTTTCAGGTACAAGATACTTACAAATCATTTGTAACCATACTCCATCATAAGACAAACCCTATCTTAAGCAAATCCACTAAACAGGGCCCCAAATGTACACAAAACATAAGTCAGTCAGCGGGAGGGGGTTAATTTTCAAAAGGATTTTTCAAAATATGACTGTATATAACTTAAAGGAATCTCCTGCTGTTTTTAAAAATACAAGTCACATTTACAGTTTATTCTAGAACAGAGCATAAACTATTCTCCAGTAAAGGTATGAAGCATTACTCACCTCCATTTCCACAGCAGCAATACCCTGATCATAGTGACCCATCAGATTAGGGAAAAATGTCATGTTGTAGGCCATTTTCATACATCTGGGAACAGTAATTGGTTCACAGGTGAAGAGACTGTGCCCTCTTATGAGGGGCAGAAAAATACATGTCAACAAAAATGAAAACATTTCCATGTTCTTCAAATTTCTGATTTTACCACATGGTTTGTTTTAATCCCTCTTTTTATGCTCAGAAGATTTTCATCCAAAGATAAACTGTTCATATTCCTCATTTCATTATTTTATCATTTTGAAGGAAGCTGTTTTCCTGAAAATGGGTCCTGGGTCAATTACTGTAAAAACAATCAAGAGGGTATATCAGCAACATGTGTCATAAACTCAAATGCAGACGTCAAAGTGCAGAGTTAAGATTTTCACCCTAGGTAACTAACACTGGAAAAACAATGGAAAATTCTGTCCTAGCGAGATATTCTTCTCCTGCCTTGGCATAGAATATGTCACTTTCTGAGGAAGTCTCATCTCTAGGGAACTCATGATAGAAGGCAGATGCTGAATGGAACGCAGTGTTAAAAGGGGGCCTAGGACTGCGGTCCCCAAACCCCAGGCCGCGGACCAGTCGCTGCATGTTGGGAACCGGGCCGCAGAGCTCCGCCGCCCCCTGACCTCCCACGTCCGTGGAAAAACTGTCTTCCATGAAACCGGTCCCTGGTGCCAAAAAGGTTGGGGACCGCTGGCATAAGATGGGTAAAATGGAGGATAAATAGGAATGCCGGTGCTTAGGAATAAGTTAAAAACGATTGGTACAATCTGAAAATCTAAGGGCCCTTGTTGGAAAGCTTATTTCGCACAGAATACTGAGGCCCTGGGAAATTCCTTAAGACCTGAAGAGTTCTTAAGCAAGATTCTAGAGCGCCGGGTTTTGTTGCAGTCTTCTGGGGATGTACTTTTCCTGTTTTTCAAAAGGCCAACTAGAGAGAGACTTCTAGGATTTCCTCCAGCGGAGGACAAAGTCGTAGTTTTCACGGGCTGGAAGGAGTAGGGATGCCGTCGAAAGGGAAAATGAGCAAATCCGTCCCGGAAAGGCGACGGAGGTCCTCTGCGGGAGGAAGGCTGTGGGCCCCGAATTACAATAAACCACCCGCCGCCCCAGCCCACACCGGTGCCCAGTCTTCTTCCAGCGCCCAACACCCCGGCACCTGCCCCAGGCCTAGATCCCGGCAGCAGCGTCCCTGGCCTGCTCGGCGCCGCCGGGACCTGGCATCGCCTTTCAGGAGCTGGCTTCTACTCCGGAGGAAACTTCGGCTGGTGCGGACTGTCCCGACGCCGCCTGCCCGCACCTGTGGCTCCCGGCGCGCGGCCCCAGCACGCCCGGCACACCTCGAGGCCCGCTCCGCTGCCCCCGGGACCCACCCGGCCGCCTGCCCAGTCGGGGCCGGGGGAGCCTCACCTTGGGCGACGGTCGAAGGCCACTTTACCTCCCCGTCCCTGTTCAGCCTACCGTCCCCCCCGCGACCTCAGACGGCTCCGGGGAGTGTCCCGGACTCGAGCCGCCGCCGGAGCCGCACGGGGAGCGAGAACTCAGCGATCCCGCGAGACTGCGCCGCCAGGTCGGGCGGGCAGGTCTGGGCTCGCGGCGGCTGCGGCGGCGGTGGGACTGGCCCTCTGCCCGGCCCCGCCCGTGCTCCCTCGGCCCAGCCTGGCTCCGCCGCAGGCCAGGACCAGCCCGGTGAACCGTGTCGGGGTGCTGAGGTCCAGCCGTGGGGCCGGTCCCTCACTTTGCAGTCCGTTAAGGTACCTGAGGCACAGGGCTGTGCCCTGTCTCGTTCATCCAGGCCTGAGGGGTTCACCCTAGAAGGATTTTTTGAAGCTCTGGATGATCCTCAAAATAAAACTCTCTTTAAAAAGAACCCACTGCATTGCGGATTTCAGGAGCCAAGGACCCTAAAACGGGCCCAGTTTGCTCTGTAAACTCAGTTGCCCAAGAGATCTGAATTAGAAAGGGGATAGCTTCCTTGATAACTGTTCTAAAAAACCCCTTCATTAATTCGGGGCATCTGGTTACCAACTTGAAGCGCAGGTGGAGGTGGGATTTCAGCCCTGGCGGATCCTACAGTTTTATTGATGCAAACTTAACAGAAGATTGAACTGGTTTGGAAGTCAATCTAGTTTTTAGTATCAACTCTGCCACACATCTCAGATAAATTACCTAATCTTTCAGGAGCTTACTTTCTTCACAGTACAGCAATGATAATAGTTACAATGATCGTTAACGTTTTATTGCACATGGGCTATGAGTCAGATAATGCAAATTCTTTACATGCATTTACATCTAATCTGTAGGACCTTCCTATGAGATAGACAGAATTATATGAGAAACAAATGAACTTGGAGAAGCACAAGTTTCTTGTTGCATTTGAAAAATGCAAAGTGACTTTTAAATGGAGATATTCGTTAGATAAATCATCCTGTTGAAGAAAATGAATGTCAGATTTCAGTACCTGGGATGAAGGACACCACTGAATAACCCGAGTAAGAGTACTGAAATCTGTGGGGAAAAAGTTGAATTTGGAGAGGGGAATGCCTTCCCAGTTTTATCAAAAGCTTAGGACCGATGTTGGGAGAGAGGTAGTGATGAAGAAAAATTAACATCATTAACAGCTGGACAATTTCTGTATTGCAGAATAAGTTTCTATATAGGAATTTTCTGTGTAGGAAGAATAATTTCCCCTAAATTTCTAAGTTTCTATGTAGGAAGATTATTTCTCTCCAGTTCTTACAAACTTAATGAACCTTTCTATGATCAGGCTTGAATACCAGGCAGTGACATTTTAAAATGATGCTTTTGACATTCAAATGAACACATGTTATGTGATTTGGAGGGAAAATAGTACAAGTTGATTTATACAGAGGTAAAGCCTATTTGATTTTTAATTGCATTTAATTATATAGTGAGCAGTGAACTAGAATGATTTTTTTGTCAGGGTAGATTTGGAACATTTAGGCAATTATCTATGTCATCACTTGTCTTTCAATATAAAAAGTTCAACCCAATGGTATGAGATTAAGGACACAAATTTTGGAGTTCAAAACCCCTGGGTTCAAAGCCTAGCTCCAGCACTTATTAGCTGTGTGAACTTGAGCAAATTACTCAGCCCCTCTTGACCTTAGACTTACCCATTTCCCATCTCTTTCTTTTCCATTTTTCCTCTGGGATTATGCTAGTGGATAGTGGTAACCCAAAGTAGAAGAAGCAGACTCTCACTTTTACTTTTGAAGGATAATTTTGCAAGGTACAGAATTGTAGGTTGGTAGTTTTTTCTCTCAACACTTTAAGTGTTTCCCTCCGCTCTCTTCTTGTTTGCAAGGTTTTGAGAAGAAGTTGGATATAATTCTTATCTTTGTTCCTCTGTAGATAAGTTTCTCACCATTAAGTATGATGTTACCTGTAGGTTTTTTGTAGATGTTGTTTAGCAAGTGAGGAAGTTCTTCTCTATTTCTAGTTTGCTGAGAGTTTGTATCATGAATGGGTGTTGGATTTTGTCAAATGCTTTTTCTGCATCTATCAATGTGATTGTGTGATTTTCTTCTTTAGAAGAAAAATATTTTCTTTAGAGGAAATATATGCTGCATGAGTTGATATGGCAGATTACATGAATTGATTTTGATGTAGTGGATTGCCCGAATTGATTTTCAAATGTTGAACCAGCTTTGCCTATCTGGGATTTTTGCATATCTGGGATAAATCTTAGTCATGGTGTACAATACTTTTTATACATTGTTGGATTTCATTTGCTAATATTTTGTTGAGGATTTTTACATCTTTGTTCATGAGAGATACTTGTTCTGTAGTTTTCTTGTAATGTTTTTGTCTGCTTTTGGCATTAGAGCAATGCTGCTAGGAAGTATTCCCTCTGCTTCTATCATCTGGAAGAGATTTTAGAGAATTGATCTAACATTGTTGATGTCTGACATTAATTTGGGGAAATTCTAGTCATTCCTTCAAATATTTTTTCTGTTCCTTCTCTTTCTTCTCCTTGTAGTATTCCTATTATATATATGTTATACTTTTGTAGTTGTCCCATAGTTCTTGTATATTATATTCCATTTTTTTCAGTATTTTTTTCTCTTTGCTTTTCAGTTTTGGAAGCTTCTATTGACATATCCTTAAACTCAGAGATTCTTTTCTCAGTGATGTCCAATAATGAACCTGTCAAAGGCATTTTTCATTTCTGTTACAGTTTTTTTGATCTCTAGTAATTATTATTTATTATTCCTTAGAATTTCCATGTCTCTGCTTACATTACCCATCTGTTTTTGCATGCTGTCTACTTTTCCCTTTATAGCCCTTTGCATATTAATCATAGTTATTTTAAGCTTCTGGTATGATAATTCCACTCCTGCCATATCTAAGTCCGTTTCTTATGCTTGCTCTGTCTCTTCAAACTATGTTTTTTGCTTTATAGTGTGACTTATAATATTTTGTTGAAAGCCAGACATGATATAGTGAGTGGAATATGCTGGGGTAAATAGGGCTTTAGTGAGTGGCGTTAAAGTTTGGCAGGAGGGAGAGCATTCTGTAAACCTGTGATTAGGCCTCAGTTGTAGTGAGACTGTGCCCCTGGGCTATGGACTTTACAAGTGCCTCTCAGTTTTTACCCCCCCACCTCTAGGTAGGGAAGGATACCTAGAGGGGCCTGGGGTTGGATATTTCCCTTTCCCCAGGTTGGTTAGGCTCTGGTAAAGTAGTTTCTCTTGAGGGCAAGCCTTGTTAAGAAGAATAGAATGTTTTGATAATTTCAAAATGGTTACTTTTCCTCTCTCCCTGCTGGACATAGGAGGTGATTTTTCTATAATCTTTATTTAGAGAACCTGGAGAGCTCCTGGAGGTAAAACTCACAAAAATGTGGGTGTGTCCCCCAAATTCCAGACCTCATGGAATTTTAATCTCTCAGACTTGTCCACATTGAGCCTCCAGGAATCATCGGCAGTAGTTCTGGTTTTCCTAGCCTGTACTAATTTCCCTGGAGATTTCTGCTGGTGGGTTTCTGCTCTGGTACATTATAAATCTCTGTATCTGCCTCTTTGTCTCTCCAATTTTGGGACAGTGGCTTGCCCTGTGACCTCACTTCTCTAACAGATCTAAGAAGAGTTGTTGATTTTCAGTTTGTTCAACGTTTTACTTGTTAGGACAAAGTAACAACTTCTAAGTTCCTTACATGCAAGACTGGAAACCCTAATTTCTCATTTTTAAAAATAGGTATTACTTTAAGAATTTTATTGACAATTTCAGTTGCTATTGCTGAAGCAGAACAAAGTTTCTCCAAGTTAAAATCAAATTGAAAAATCCCAAGAGCTACAACACCTCAGGAAAGTTATGGAATTCACCATATTGTTCTTAGAATACTGATTTGAAAATTTTGATTACAGCAACATAATTAAATGATTTTGCTGACATGAAAGGGAGAAAATAAATTTTATGGACTAAATATATAGTTTGTGAATTGTATAAGGTTTTATTTTATTGCTTATCTAAACATCTCTAGCCCATCACCAGACTATGTAGACATATGCAATTATAATTGAATTGATTCATGTTCGATATTTTGCCTACTCATTAAACCATGGCTTTACAAATTTAAAAATATTTTTTGTTTTTATAAAGATACATTTTTTTCAAGGCAGGAGGATACAACATATTTTATGTAGCATTTGGTTAGTTTGATATATGACTTTTAACTTTGTAGACATACAGCATGGTGTCCTCCTTTCTAGTTTTATTTGGGTCTCGCACACATACTGGGGGTAGGCCTGCACCACTGACCTGCTGCTGACACATTAGGGGCTTGAGGGGCAAACAGCAGTAAGGGGACCACAACTGAAGGAGGCTGGGCTGAGCAGAGGCATAGATGAGAACAGAGGGAAAGAGAGGAATTTGGAAGGAAAGCAGTTAGAACAGCAGCATGGGCCCCTTTGCTCCTGAAGTTCTCTGTCAAATCCTTCTTTCCCTAACCCTTAAAAGCTCTACTCGTGGCTACAGTCCCTCCAAGTGACATTTGCGAATTTGATCACACATTGACTTAATTTAGGGGAATCTATGAACATGACATAGAAGATAACCTCTACTTAAAAACTAATTTTCACTTGAAGTACATTACCTGTCACTCCCTGCTCTAAAAGCTAATTGCTGCAGTGTTTGTGGCATAGCAATTAACCTTTGGGTTGTGTCCATTATGGTTCGTATCAGTTATGGTTGGTCAGAAATAATAGACCTTCTGATTGTTACCTCCAGTATTACTGGAAAAATAAAATTTTCAGTGCAATAGTAATATGACACTGCAGGAAAGAGCCACATATTTTAATGACAGTTTGATGTATAAGATTGTCTCTCTGGAGCTCTGGTATTATCATTGCAAATAAAAAGATTCATAATGCTAAAGAAAAACAGCCTCAACTCTACTAATGTTTTAAGTCACATTTTGTGCCGATGAATCTATCCTGCTGAGTTTTGTTTTTAGTGGCTTCAATACTTACCATCTGGTCATCTTTCATATTTAATATCTTATCCTTTTTTTCTAGCAAAGTGGCCATGTTAAGTCAAATATTAGAAATA